ATTTTTAGAATTGAACAAATTGAGAGAGGTTGAAGGCCGCTGACTAGCCATCTCATGGGCTAGGAGCTAAAGTCAGCCAACGTCAAACTGAAAATAAATTGCAAAGTTTTGGTTTGCTTGAAACAGTAAGCGTAATTAGCTGTTGGACTGCATTATACATTGCTCTCACAAATTATCCATGTTTGATTTAGATAATCTTTCTGAAAGATGTGCTTTAATTCACTGCAACTTGCTGTTTTGCATGAGCAAAATTCCACTGCCTTTCCCGTGTAGGAGGATGTATTAGATAGTGAAAATAGTTTATTCTGGCTTTAAAACCAATTAATCCATGTTCAGCTCATTTTTACCATAGCCTGTGAACAAGTTGCCTACCACTCCTTGGGTGTGGCAGCAAAGAAAATAAGATTATTTACTCCATTTCCAGAAATCTAAGTTGGCACTTTCCTCCAGACTCCTTGCTTCAGGCTGTCTCCATTTGACCCTACTGTAAGTGAGAGCCAGGTTCTGGGGCTTTGGACTCAAAAATGTCCAAACATGATTCTAAAGTTATAACTATTTCACCTGTCATTTTTCATAGACAGTGTTGTGCCCCTCTAAGTCTGATAGGCCATCTGATGTTCTTGATGTGGCTATGTCTCTGTCTCAAGTCATCTTTGAATTGCACCTCACTTCATTTGGAGGAGACTTATGAAATGACATTTTTGTTGGCAGAATGGAGGAATACAAAATTTAACATAACTGAAATGGCCAGGTCTCTTAATATGTTTCTTTCAAGAAAATTACAAAAAAAAAAAAAAAGGCAAACCATGCTTTTTGAAGACAGCATATAGATCAAGATAGCATATGAACAATCAGAATGAAAGACACCCTGTTTTTACTTCACTGATAAATCATGCAAAACTATTAAAGGAAAGACTATAAAACTCCAGTAAATGTTCCCGGAGGTTTGTGACTGTGGCAAGGACATTAAGGCAATGTTTTTTTTAATATATCTGACATGTTTACCCCTAGCAAAATTCAGATGAATAGCATATGTTTTGCAGATGTCAAAAAAAGAAGTAAACAGTGCAAGGAAAATATAAATAGCAGTGTTATTTATGCAATTAACTTTTTAATTCTACATGATTTTCTTAGGAAAAGAATTTACGTATCTGGGAAAATATTTGGATTGAGGAATGTCACAAATTTTTTTCAGTTTCATTAATTTGGCAAGATTATAAAATAGACAACTAAACTAAACCTATGAGTTAAATGACAGAAACATGGGGTTTTTTCTTTGGTTCTAAAAAAGCAGGCAGGTGCTTGAGCTGAAGATGTGGCAGACCTAGTACCTAAAAAGCACTATCAGCTTTTATGACGTGACAATAGTATCTGGAAATATTAACCCCCCAAATATCTAGCCCTCTCAAAATATAGATTTGAGGGCATGCAGCCAAGATCAGATTAATCAAAATGTGATCAAACACCTTCCCTTCCAACATACTGTAAGGCAGCACAAGTTATACTATAAAGCCAAAACAAAGCTAAAACCAGTAGCACAATCTAAAATAATAACAGCTTTTATGGAACTGAGCAATAAGTATTACAGGAGCAGGGTGTCAGAAAACTATGGTGCACTACCCTTCAAGGAAATGAACAATTAATTTTTTAGAAACTAAAATACTGATGACTCTTCAATGCACTTTAAGGAGCAACTTAATGAAGAACTGACAGTAGTTGCTCACACAGAATTATACATATAATAGAGCTCCTCAGGACATACAGTTACGAAACTCTAAGCCCATTTAGATAGATTTGTTTCTAATATATTAGTCCAGCAAATGGTAATGTAAAATATTTGAAAAGGACAAAGGTAGAAGGCTGTATCTCTGGATGCCGCTATGACTTAAGAGGATGAATTAATTGTGCACTACAGTGATGGATAGTTGAAATAGAAATTATATAGTAATACTATTGCATATGTTCCAGAAAAAGCTTATTTACGGGCACACATTTTAAGGTCAAGAAGGACCAATAAGGTCAGAAGAAGCCATCTGTTTTGATCTTCTCTATAAAAAACTATGGACTTTCTGCCAGTAATTTCTGTCTCAAGCCTGGAATTTCTCTAGAGCGGCTCAGGTCATAAAAGTTTTTCTTCCATTTTCTAGTAAAGTAAGTACAGAGAAATATGATAGCGTGAGCAATGACAATTCCTCTTCTGTATTTGTGACTAACATTATCTCAAAAAATGGAAACGGGACCTGCTGCTGCTCTTGTTCACTCTAGGCCACATTTCACCCCTTTTGCTTTGTGTTGCTCTGGCCTTTGGTATTTTGATTGAAATAATTCTGAGAGCTTTGGCTTCCATTAAAAATTTTCTTAAAATTATTTACTTTGGACTTGAGTATTCTGGTTGCTTAATTAAGAGGTAACATAATTATCAGAAATTATAAGAAAGTCACTTTTTAGGCTTAGTTGTAGGGTGTCACTAGGACTTAGGATGCTGCTGTATGCAGACATTAAGACCTAATGTAGGATGACAAACTAAAAAGTCTCTTGTGGTTCTGTTTTTTCTCTTACTCATCAACCTCCAAAACCTATCTATTTATAAATATTTTTTCCATCATTCAGTAGAGGAAATACCTAGATGTGAACCACTTTCATACTGCAAAAAGTTAAAAGTTTTACACTTCCAGTAATGCAGATTAATTACATTATTTTGTATGGTAGAGGTCCTTACAATTTCTTCGATTCACTTGCAAAATCATCTATTTTCCCCAACTTTTTGCTGAAATTCCCACTGTGTTACAGGATTAATATCTGTGGTGCACAGCTAGGGAGTAAGTGTACAAGAATGAGGAGACTTGCATCAGCAGGTCACTATTGAAACCCACACACAAGGGCTGGCAGCAGAGATTGCCTCCTAAGAAGTTGTATTGTTTTCCACTCAGTGAATGTGCCACTAACTAATGGGAGAGAAATGCTGAGAATCATTCATTTTTTCTGAGATTTATGAGCCAAGATAATTGTTTTGTTTGCCTGATTTATTATACTTGAATGGATAAAGTACTATTAATATTGCACTTTGAGCAAGAAGCTAAGGCCAGAATAGTCAAAACATTACTCATCTGATTGGAGTACCTCAGTTCTATATGAGGGAACAAAACTAGATGTTCTTTTTAGAATGTGGATATATGTAACTCATTTCAGTTTAAAGTATAAGCATGTTAGCACCAAACTTTGTGCCAATATATTCTCTGTCTCTACAATAATCTTCCAAATAGCTGTTTCTGTAAAATAGAAGTGTTTCTATTTTTATACATTCTAGCTATTCTGTCCAAGTCAAATATTGAAATGGACAACATGAAATTAGTGATTATTACTTGGTTTCCAAAACAAAATATATTTGACACAATGGAAGTGTTTGGGGCATTTATAAGTGTGTCATCAATGTCTAAATATTTACTTCATTTTCTTCTTATAAGCTCTTTGGAAATATTTTTATATTTTTCCTTGCTTGTTTAGACAATAACACAGATCAAGCGGCAGTCATTCCAGAGACAGGGTTAGAGCACTGGGCTACAGCTAATCCTAGAGCTGCTTCCCGTAAGGGCTTGTACTCACGCCCTGGTATTTCATCTAGTTGTGGCCAGTTAGGTTCCTGCATGTTGAAATCACCCCAAAGAGCACGATACCTTTTCACTACCCATCCCACTATTTGTGCGGTGACCCAGCATCACTGAAAGATACTGTCATGATTTATTTGAATCTTCTTTTGAAAGGTTGGAGTGTCTCCATGATAAATATCGACAAGCAAATATTTTAGCATCTTTCTACTTTTTTTCTTCCCTTTTATCTTTTTTTCCTTCCTCTTCATCTAGCCCTAGATAAATATCACAAATCATCTCTAGGGAAAACCTTTCCAAAGGGATCCCATTCTGCATTTCACTCCAAAGCACAGCTCAGATGAGAACAGAGTTGTTGGGATAAGGAATTTTCCTTGCCAGAGACATTTACAGGAGCTGTTCTTCCATGAGGTGGTAAAACTTCACTCTGGAATCTGAGATCTGCAACATCTTTGGAGCATCTTGATATCATGGTGGTTTGTGGGCTAAAAGCTGCCCAATGTTACTGCTGGCCTGTTGATTAAGAGACTTGTGGCTCAGAATTAGGACCAGTAATTAGATCCAGAAGCAAGCGTGGATACATCAGAATGTATACAACCCTGGAGTAATGCGTTTCTAATACTCATATCAAACAAATCTGGATTTTTGTGGCTTTCCTTTTCTTCTTCAGTAAGAGTTGGAGACATAGTAGGAATTACCGTAGGAAGCTCTTAGTCTAGGAGAAAAAGGTTGTCTTTGGAATAAATATCACACTGAAAACTTTCCAGCCTAAACCTTTCATTAATTTCTTCATGTCATCTTAATATATTTAAACTTTGTAAAAAATTATGCTGCAAAAAGTTCTCTCCACGTGTAATTTTTCCTCAAGTGGAGTGCATACCTTTCAAATTATAAACTTCCTACTTGTCCTAGGAAAATCCTCACTATATAAATAATTGAACTCATCTGCTGTGAACACAAGTATTCTTTCTCTAGCTGTCTAAAATATATGCCTAAATACACATCTTGTACTTAGTGCTTTAAATAGTAATTACTCCCGTGAAGTCACTGGAAGCCCTTAAAAGGATTTGACAGTTTCCCCATAATCTTTCAGTGAATGTAGTAGCTGGGCTGTGCAGTGCTACATCCACTGATAATTCAGCAGCTGAGGAACTCAGCAAAGCCTGCTCCAAACTTCTCAGCTGTTGACAGGCTTGACTTGCTGAGAACACTGGTTAAATATAGCACAAGAGAGCTGAGCTCAACAAAGTCATTGCTGTAACACTGTGTGAAGAGACCAGAAGAGGGGAAATACAATCTGAGAACTAAACTGCCAAAGCCTAACACCACCTAGCAACAGTTGAAAAAACTTTTAAACAAAAGTCCGGGTGAGACACAGACAGAGTATACCTCCTACTTCTCCTGCCTGGGATTTCTGTGAGAAGCAGCTCTGGTCTTCTGTTCTCTACCCCATTTCCTTCATTACTGCAGCTGCTGGTAGACCTAGAAAAGTGGGAAAAGTTTCTCTCTTCGTGTTCTCCTGGGCTGGATCAGTGCTGTGGGACGACGAACTACTGCGATCTTGTGGTGTAAAGGATATATTCCTGGGTTCGTGTTGCTGACAGGTAAGACTGAGCTGACCACTCCAACGCATTCTTTTTAAAAGAAGTGATTTTCTTTTTTACTGACTGTTGTCTCTTTCTTCCTATGAACAATCTTCTGCATGATTTGGAAATGTCAGTAGATGGAAAGCTGGGATAAAAGTTCTAGATTTTTTTTTTTACACAGAAAAACATTGCTTAAATAACTTTTGCGTTTCTTAGAACAAGTATAATCAAGCAGCTAGCAGTAATATGAAAAAATGTGTATAGATTTTGATATGTGTCTTTCTTATATCTGCTTGCATGCTAACAGAAGACAAACCAACATTTAAGAATAGAATACATATCATCCCTTACCAGTGATAGTCTAGCAGCTATTAAAAACAGTGACAGCCTGTGTGATAAGTAAAAGGAAATAGCCATTTGGTAACTGAATTAACCGAATACTTTGTGACCCAGCGCATTTGCACTTTTTGTCTCCTTACTAACTTTTAGCACACAGGCACACCTGGTGCCTTTCGTATTATCCTTGTGAGAACAGTTCTTGGTTCTTCCTCTTGTGCTTATTTACATACAATGAATATTAATCTCTGGTCGATTGATTAGCTGTAGAATGCAACTGTACTAAAGACTGACCTTATGTTTACTGTACCCAAGTGTGCTTGAGCTGGATCATTGTTGTTAAAGAGTTTGTTTCTTTTAGCAAAATAAATGAGAAACTAGTTCTCAGATGTTTTACCCTGACAGCAGAATGGAAGCCTGTTTGTCTGTTGGAAATGCATATCCTATGGTTCCATAATGGTCATGTAACTTAAGGGAGGAACAGTTTAGTATGATTTGCTTTGTCTGAACTGACAAAAGCTGTTTGGTCAATTGAAGAATGAACACCACCCCCCCCACCCCCCCTTTTAAAGCCATTTTTTCCAAACAAAAGAAATCTAGTATGCATGAATTTTTAAAAGATGTACTGATTGTGAATTCGTATGCAATATGAATTCAGTTATGAAGGTAAAGATTTAAAGAATGCACTTAACCCGCACAAAAACCCTGTTCACAGATTTTTGAAGAATTGTTTCAGATGAAAAATATTTCTCCTAAAGAAGGAATGGACTGACTGAGTCTATGCTGACTGTCTGTGGTGTTTGATACTCAGTCTGTGGACTCTGGGACTGCCCCAGGAAGATGAGAAGGTCTTGCTTTAGCTAAATAAGTCTAGTTTCATCCCTGCATACTATATAAATGACATCAATACCACATCTTAGCAGTGACATGCTTACGGATTGGATGAAATTAAAATACTCTGAAGCAACTTTGACTTGGCGGCTGAGAATTTAACTGCCTGTGAAACAATAAAATAAACAAAGTATTAGGATGGAGGAAAATTCTTACAAGCAAAAATAATATAGTTTACATTTTATTTCATAACAAGGGGCATGCTACTTAATCACTAAATAGGAATACTTTTTTGGTGGCTGCGATTTAATGTGATAATCATTACTGTGGAATTACTACAGCACTATGGTATCCCAAATCTAAATCTCAAAAGGAAACTTTGGTATTATTTTTTAACATAGACAGAACCTGAGAAAGTTGTTTTTTCATAAGAAAGCTGTACAGCGAGAAGTAAAACTGCGACAATGTGATTTGTACAGTTTTTGTCATCTTGACAACAGAGTGAAAATTACTGTTTCACTTTTGACTGAGTTAAGTGACAAATAATAAACTGTGGAAAAATGGCAAATTTGAATATATAGGGATGGGAAAATTCTGAGCTAATTATTGACTGTTTTTTCGGTTTAGGTTTTGCTCATCATATTGTATGATTTTACAATTTTACTTTTCTTACACAATTTACTTTTAGCAAAGTTTCTAAAAACAAAAGGCAAATTTATTAGCCTGAGAACTATCAAATGAAGTGACTTTTGAACGGTCTGATAGCAACTTCGAACACATGGAGTTGTGGTTTTACGTACATCTGTCTTCCTTTCCACTTCACAATGGAAGAGACGGCTAAAATTACTCTTCTCAACAGGTGTCCACAAAGAGGCTCTGGGATTTTCCAATCAAATCTGTGGAATATGTAATGTGGCTATTCAACAGATGGTTTCATATTTGAAGAATAGCCAATTCTACTAATGACTACAGTGAAACTAAGCTCAATTTTATATCAACTCAAAGAGTAATTCAGATCTTGGCGGTACTGTCCATTGTAGAGATATTCTTGGAAGACAAGTAGACATAGCATACCCATTTATTTTCCCCATTATGCATTATTTTGATTTTGTTTATATTCCCATAACTGTGGAATGAATGGTTCCTTTCATGGTGCTAAAGACTGTGTATTCCTCCCAATCTGAATCCACCTCCAGACTCTGACTGTGGCTTGTTGTTTTGCCTTCATTACAGCAATATTATAATTTACAGCCTTTTAGCCAAACTAGCCACAGCTAAAATCATCGTCTTAACTGAGTGTTTTGCCATCTCCTCAGTCTTTCAACCTCTTTATAGAATATCTGGTTCTTTTTATCACCAAATTCAAAGACTTGAAATTCATCTTCAAACCTCAGCACTGTTCTGTCCCTGCTTAGATCTGCCCTGATTTTCCCATACTCCTCCTTCTCATACCTGGTAGACTATTAAACTTCAGCTCTGGTGTTAACTGGTCCGTCCTCTGTGCTACTGGCTTTGGTAAGCTTGAGATTGACCTAATGGCATATGAGTTTTCTATAGTGCCTCTCATTGTAGCACCTGACACTAATGTCATGGAAAGACTAAACTTGTCTACTAACAGAGCTATGTCAACCAAGGCAGGACTTCTGAAGATACAGTTGTGCTTCCTGGAGGCAGCTTGTGGAGTAAACATATTGGGAAATCTCTGCTTTTACTAGTGTGCCCTGCTTTGTTCCTCTGGATCACAATTTCACCAGGTATCCATTTCCATACTAAAAGCTTATTACTGATACAGATGTATTTCCTCCTGATACAGGCAATGTGGCACAAATTCCACACATGCTTAGTTTAAGGCTTTTGGTAATCTCATCTAACCCAGTTGATGTGCCTCCAGACAAAAATTAATAATGTGCCTCAGGGCTATGTGGAGCCAGAGGCCAGGTTTATGCCACTGAATTCAGAGTGAGATTTCCTTTGAGTTTAAGAAGATCAGGTCTTAGTGTCCAATAACTAACAGATAAATTTCCAGTCCCCTCAAGAGCATTCAACAAAATGGATCATCTATATTCCTGTCCAAATAATTTTTTTCCTAAGAGACATTTTACTTTTCCTCTAATTTCCTGTTTCTTCCCTTCCTTTCTTAAGGTCTGTTGTTGCAGTTTGCCATACTATTTTAATATATAAACCGAATTTGGGGTCATGGATTTTGTCCTTCTACATATCTAAAATGCCATTTGGTCTGTTTCACCTGTAATATTTGTGAAGAAGCCAGACAAAACAACAAGACAAAGGAGAAGGAACTCCACTTTGAGTATTCATACTTCCCATTTCACCAAAAATATTTAGTATATAAAACCTAACATAAGAACTGAAAAACAGAAAGATAAAATAGTGTGATAAAATAATGATAATCCGTTGTATAGAAAAGTTTAAATATTTCTTTACAAGAAGCAGAAACATCTATACTGTTCAACTTCATCATCTTATTCTGGTGCTTTTCATTTTTAGCCTTTTTCTCTCAGTGTTCTCTACTGAAAGTTGTTTCCTAATTTTTTACAGAATACTGGAAATTATATGGGGAATACAGGCTTTCCTTGATATTGGAGGATATTGGATTACTGAGGAAACAATTATTTCATAATGAATTAAGATTTCTTAACCTTTCTCTTTCTCATTTAATAGCTAGTATTTGTTAGAAAAATAAACCATTTATATCACAGTCTTGTAGTTATTCTTTGAGGTACCGTTGTCCAAAGGACAGGAACAATTGTGCCTATTTCCTGTTCAGGAGAGATAGTGGGAGTCTCTAATCATGTTGACAATTGGGTGACCCCTAATGTATTTGTGAAAATAGTGCCCTTCTGGATACTCGATTAGATTTTTCCATTTATTTTGGGTCTTTTCACCTATTCTTCTGGCTTCTGCAGATAATCTGCACTTTCTGTGTTACTTTTTATTCTTCTAAGCATCATAGCAAAATAAGTAATAATATCAATGCGAAGTCCTCCTAAATTGGGACAGGTTTGTTTTGTTTTGTTTTTGTTTTTTTTTTTTAAAGTCAAAATAGCTTTGCCCTATCATTCTAATTCTGCTTTGGCTGGACTGTAATCTTTTCCACAAGTGAAGCATGCAAATGCTAGCTATAAAGATGATATGTAAGAAACAGAGTTGCGGTCTTCTCCAAAATGGTTTACACACTTGGCAAATACAGAAAAAGAGACAATTGCTACAATTAAAAGCATATATGCCAAAAGCTCAATTGCATTTTATTTTGAAATCATTCTTCTATAGATATGCAGCTGTTAAAAGAATGTGATTTACACTGTTTAACGAGTTATGTTCTGAGGCAATGAAATGGCACTGCACTTTTTCTCCCCCAGCTAATAGAAAATTGCTATATGTGGTATTATAGAACTGAGAAGAAAATGAAGAATTCCAACATCCAGTTCCTTAATTTTGCAGCTCTATGAGAGCTGAAACTTAATCAGAAAAGAAATGCTTTTTGGCATTACAGAATGCATTACTGAGGGAGTGGGACAAACACAACCGAAGTACAGGGAAATAGGCTGGAGCTTGTACTTTTTCCCTTAAATGGGCAACCCGTCTAGTTGCTGTTAGCTGACACAAGCAAAGGGTTGTGTGAATCTAAAAGACTGCTGTACATTATCCAAATCAGTTTCATTTCAAAGCTGATAAAATAGCAATTAAAATCTTAATTATCTATGATGTGGCCAGACTCATTCAGATACAAACCAGTGAGGTCTCAGAACATGAGCAAAAATCTCGATGAATTTGCAATAAACTGTTTCAGTTTGATTTATGTACTTTAAGAGCTCTTTAATAGAGTAAGGGTT